CCCACCAGATTAATGCAAGTGTCTCTGCAGAACTCAGCACTGAAACATTGTTTTTCAAGCCTCAGGGGCTTTGCATGCTGTTTGCATTTGGTTTTTTTTACCAGTGTCTTGTGAGTGTATTTCTTGGACTGACTGGGCTTTATTTCCTTTGAACAGCTGCCTCGTTGCAAGCTATGTACGAATTCCACACAAATGCCACAAGCTATTAAAATTCAGAAGTAGAAGTAAAGTTTATCTAGAATAAAGTAAATAAATGAACAAACAAAATTAGAAGTAGATACTCATCAGAGAGCTGCAACTTTGGACACAGCTCTCTCCCCACCCCCCTCACCCCACCCTATTGTTTCCCCACTTCTGCGGTTACAGTGGTTAGGAGTGCAGCTGGGGAGGCAACTGTGGAGGGGCAGACAACTGACTCCTTCCACCCGCGTGCCATGTGTTCTTCTCTCTGGGATGCGGGGCCTCCTCTGTCTGAGCGTCTGACCCTGGCACCCTTCTATCCCAAATGGCCACAATGAAGCACATGAACAAATGCCATGTCATTCACTTATAATGTGGATTCATTCACTCCACATTTATGATTGTGTATTTCCTAGACTTTAAATACTGTGTTTAGCAACTGGTATAAACCTCAGTAAGCCATAGTCCTCTCTGCTAAAAACCCCAGAGGGGAATCAGACAAATGAGGTAATTACAAATCAGTGTGTGGACATTAGGGGTAAGTAGAAGGTGTATTAGGATTCCTCCACAAACCCTGATGCATATATGAAATTCATTATGACACACTCCTGACTAAAATCCTCCCAAGTACCCCCGTTCCCTTCAGACTAAACCAAAGCTTCTTAGACAGGCACGTCAAATGCGGAACCATTGGTCCCCTCCCATTCTGCCAGATGTCATCTCAGCCACCGCTTGGCAGACTCCTGGGACTGGGGAGGCTAAGCTAAGGAGATGCCCGCAGGTGGGTTCCACTGAATGACACAGCACTCTCCATTTTCTCTGTGACATTCATGGACACCCACTTTGACCCTTGGATGCCAGAAGGCTGGGTCCTTGTGTATCCTGTACACAGCAAATGAGACACAAACTCACCCAAGTCAGTTGTGCGTGTTGCTGTTGATGGAGGCCAGCTGCACTTGTTATTGTGATTATATTACGCAAGCTGGTGAAGTATGAGTATGCAAAGGAATGCTGATGCTGATTTCTGAGAATGACCTTGACTGGTTTGAAAAGACTTGATAAAGACACAGTGAAAGAATTCTGCTAGCGCAGGGTTGGAAAAGTGATGGTAAAAGATAGGGGCATGGGGCATCTTTAAAAGTTAAGCAGCTGCCCTTAAGCTTTTTGGAAAGATCTTTTCCATTTTAAAGAAAGCGGAATTAGAAAGCGCAGATGATGTGATACGATGTGTGTTCCTTAAGAAAGACAACATGAAACTACAGTCAGTGACCCCTCTCTCGAAGGAACAGCCTTGGCCTGGTAACAAAAGCATGAGGAGTGGCGAGTGGGCATACGGCTATGTGTTTTTAATTAAAATAAAGTGTTACAGGCAGATACCTATTATGTCTCATGAAAGTGCCCTGTGTCTCACTTTCGGGAGTAACCACCGACACCCTGCTGTTTCCAGTTGAGACAGATAAGGAGACATGCATCACCCAGTGTGTGTGCAACTCCCCAAAGGTTCCGTACTTTGTCACTGCTCCATGACTTTGAACAAGCTGTTCTCTCTGTTTGAAAATGTCCTCTTTGTACTTCAGGCTCCTCGATCTGGTGCACATCTCCTAACTCCGTGCTACCACATTAAGTGTGGCTTCCTTCACGCTACCCTTGGGGCTTCCTCCTTAAGGCATCTGTGTGTGTGTGTTTCTCACCTAGGAGCAGACTCTCCATCCTTTATTTGGGGAACACCCCGGTCTGTGAGGCTCCCCCTTGTAGAAGAAGCTCCCCATGGCTGCTGAGTCTGTTCCAGGGCCAGTGGTGGCAGTGGAGGTGGCTGTTCTCAGTTTCTGGAGGTGCCAGTTGCAGAGATAAGAGGTGGCTCTGTGGCCACAATGTTTAGTTCTTTGACCCTCCCAGATATCCTGTGAATATCCTATAGCTTTTAATCAATTCCTTTTCTGCTCAAATGAACCACATTGATTTTTATGTCTTAAAGCTAAGAATCTAGGTGATACTTTGCCTTAAAGTAATGATATGCCATTGTAAGTGTTCCTGTGTGTCGTTGTCCCCAAATGATTACAAGGTGGGACCAGAGCATCCCATCTGTAAGCCCAGTGCCCAGCAGAGCACAAAATAATGCAAAGCAGATCCTCAACAAATTTCTGTTAACTCATTAATCTGGGAATTAATCATTTAATTGATGAAAAAGTTTCCTCTGAAAATCCAAGCCCATGTAATGACTGCAAATGACACCAGAATGTTCCCCATGGCTGTGGAGAGCTGTGGCCCATTGTAGGCACCCCTCAATCCATATTTCTCAAAGAAGACCAATGCAGTCATGAAGATTTTTTTAGCATTTAATTAAATACGAGATGGTAACCTATCGGGTACTTATATATGTAGCAGCTCTGCAAAATGTTTGTAATGCATGTGGAAAGTACATGGGCCAATCAGAAACGTTTACTGTAGTGAACAACGGATGTCTTTAAGAATAACCCCAAAGAAAAACCACTGAGCTGGCAGAAATGCTGTCTGAGCTGTATAATTCCAATGGTCCATCCATGTATATTGTCTCCATCTCCCTGGCTAGCTCGGTCTTGAAGCCCCTCTAGCCAAGCTATGAAAACACAAGTATATGCATCTGTACCAGGCCATACTCGGCTTTCTGAAGCAAATTCTCACGGAAACCAGGATGACAGGAGAGGCAAAGGCAGGAAGAAAATCAACCGAATAAGCCAGGGCTCCCTAGGTCCAGATGTGGGTGTTGAACTCACCAACTCTAGCTGTCTACTTATCAATTTTCTTTTCATCTCATGCTCTACAGAACTAGCAGTTTTCTTCTCTGACTTCTACATTATCTCCGATCAGGAGGTTTTTTTTTTGCTTGATAACATCCAAAGTGTGGTTGATCAGAGAAAATTTGTAACCTTGCATTATCCATTGTCTCTGAGTAGATAATCAAGCACTAGTAGCAGTTATGAGTATAATACATGGATTTTAAATGCCTCCAGTAACAGACAGACATTCACACACTAAGTTCAAATTATAACCTATGCAAAACAATACTGATATAGGGGACTCTGAAGCTGGAGGGACCTTGGCTTTTCTTCTAATTTCTTTAAGAGATTGTCTATTTTTTCAGGGATACAAGCTGAGGGCTTCTAGTCCTGACTTAACTTGGAAGGCTGAGCACCTTCCCTGTCTTTCTTGTGTCTCAGTTTTTCCTTAAGTCAGAGATCATGACAACAAACCCTTCAGGGGGCCTCTCTGATAAGGTACAAGAGATTAGGTCGGGCACAAGACTTCCGGGATGATCTGCTGCTTGAGGTCACCTTGGCTCCCATTTCTACAAAGGGTAAAGAACACACATCCACCTGTCTGTCACCTTTGTGGTCTCTTTCTTGTCTCCAAAAGCACACTTTGACCATGCCTCCATTACAACATTTCATGTTATTATAATCATTTGTTCACAAAGTTTTCACTTTCGTTAAGTTTTTCACTTAGTGAGAGCTGGGTCACGACCATATTTGTCTTACAGCTCCTGTTCCTAACACTGTGGTTTGCACAATGGAGGCTTTTCATAAATGTCGAGGAAATGAAAGAGATAATGCTTATGGAGGTGCTTTGAAAATCACAAAGCCTGAAGCAAATCTAAGGGGGTGTGGGATTATATTCATTACTACTGATTCAGAGAAAACAACTTGGAAAGGAGACACCCAACTGAAGGAGAAGATGGTCTGAGTACTGTTGGGTTCCTAAAACCAACAGGTAAGGCCTATTAGTCCACCACCTAAACTGTCTTCACGGACATTACAGAACAAACCAACAACAACAAAAAAACAAGAAAACTAACAACAGTCTCCCCCCAAACAAACTAAGATCAGAACAAAGAAAAAGTACAAAACATAAACAACGACGACGACAACAAACCCCCCCAAAAAACCTTGAACGTATGTCTATCCTTACTATCTTGTGCACCACATGCTTATTAGAACTCCGTCTCCCTGAAGTTTGTGGCAATGTCTATGCCTGTAGAACTCGAGACGACTGGCGGATGAGCTTGGGTTGGGGCAGTCTTGACACACACAGAAGGGTTGTTCCTCATTCATTGTTCACATGGGCAACAGGTTTGTCCTCTATCCATGTATGCAGCTGGGTGTGGTAGCAAGGGGACTGTGCTCTTGATAACCAACAATCAAAATCCTGGGCTCCTAGTTTATCCCCCCTTGAGTGTTTTTCAGAAAAATGAAATGAAATGGGCTTTGTAGCATTTTGTTGTTTTCTTCAATTTTTGTAGACACAGTGGACCATGCATGGTCTCATTTGACATATCGTGAAACTGTATCTCCCCAACTTTCTTCCTCATAGTTTTTGTCTGAGAGACTCCTCATCTTATGCTTATCATCCTGGAGTGATCACTTATAACTTCGCCTTTTACTTTCAGAGGTGACCCAGCATGAACATGAATTATAGTCACCCTGTTATTAGTGAGGTTTGGCACCCAAGAATGGGACAGTCTCTAGTTAAGAGGAAGGCCTGTGGCTCCGGGGAGACTGCCATTAGACTCTTGGGCATCAGATGCTTAGTGGAAAACATGGACAAGTTACCTTAAGCCTCGGTTTCATCATCTATAACAAAGACAATAAGAAGGAGAATAATTGCCCCCATCTCATGGAATTCTTGTGGGGATGCAGAAAGACATGCTAAATGCTGACTCAGCATTGGACATACAGCAGATTCTGATAATAGCAGCTCTCCTTCTTGACCTCCTCTCCTTCTTTCTTCCTTGCTCCCTTCCTGCCTGCCTCATCCCTTCCTTTCATCCTTTCCTCGACCCCTCCTTTTTTTTGCTCTTTTGCTTTTTGAATGTTCTAAAATAATTGAACTGTTTGGATCATCTGAAGCAGAATGCTACTGCCTCGTGCTGAGAGTGGGGAGGAGAGGGGACAGCGATGTTTCAGAATTTGGTAGGTTATGGAGAGAGTTGCTTTAGTTTTGTCTTCTTTGTGCTGTGAGGGGGAGTAGGAGCTCAGTCATCTTTCTTGGTCACACGTTTGCGGGCCTGGGTTTCTTACAGTTCACTGGTTTTGGTAGAAGTTGGACATGGTGACATAGGCTTCTTCTTGATTTGATCCCAAGGAAGTGAGGAGGGGTTGTCCCCGGGCAGCTGGGTTCAACATCAGGATGTTTGATTGGAAAGGAAATGGAGGGAGCAGGGTGACATTTGTAGGTCCAGGACCCAGCAGTAGGCCCTGGTACATATGAGGCCCATTCTTGCCCCCTTCCCTGAAGTCTGGGGACCTGGAGGAAGGGACCACAGGGGTATCACACACACTGGCATTCCCAGCCAGGCACCCGAGGGGTGCATCTCTTCTGCAAGTTTTTGGGGTGATGCCTACATGCTCGGATGGCCAGTGGGGGCCCGGCACACTTCCTCCGAGCCTCTGCTTCACAGGGTCCTCTAGTGGTGGAGGAAGTGTGTCCTGCAGAAAGCCTTCCACTTCATCTCTAGCTTGAATGCCATCCACCTTATGAATCTGGCAGTCCAGGAAACTTTCAGGATTGAAACTCACATTCAGATTCTGCACCAAAAAAAAAAAAAGAGAGAAGGCATGAAGAGTGCACCACCAGATGTTCTGTTCAGGAAAACATCTGAAGGACTTCTGAAAGGGGCTCATTTGGGAACGTCAGGCATGAACCACCACGTTTTAGTTGCCTCATTGCTTTTGGAGGTGCTATGACACCTCAGGGTCTGAAATAACCACTGGGGGTGCCCTGCAGCACTGGGGAGGCCTGGAGAAAGTTCTGAAACATGTCTCATTTTAGTTTCCTACTTCCAGAAACTGCCGCTAGAATCTTATGAAGGACCCTGGTTTGGGAATACACAAAAGACCAAAACTGGAGGTTCAGTCATTCCTTATACTCTAATAATATCATTCTTGGCTATTGGGATGCCTTCAACATAGTGACAGAAAAGCGTCAGAAACACCCACCTTTTTTGGTTTCTTGCACAGTTGCTCTAGAGTTTTCTTATGATCAGGGAGGCTGGGCCATACAATGGGCTTAATTCTGCAATAAGAGGACATGGACAGATGAAAAGGATGGCAGAGGGAACAGGCACAACAGGTATTTCCACCTATTCTGAACTAGAAATCAGAAGAAGAGATTTCTAGCCTTGGCTCTGCCACAGCTCAGTAGGTCACCTTGGGCAATAAACTTGCTTTATTGGGGCCCCAGTGTCCTACCAATCCACGGAGGAGTCGGACCAGAGATTGTTTTCAGTGACCTACTCTATGAACGAGACAGAGCAATGATACACCTCTGAGAAAGAACCCCGGAGAAAAGGAACAATGAGGTGTGGCAATGAAGTGGCCTAGTTATGGAGCCACAGTTGGACCTGCTCATCTGCTCCTGATACAGATATGTTGTCATCGTATCCCTTCTCTCTACTGGCAGCAACCCCTTCTCTCTCACTTTTGTAGAAGTGAGGCATGTTTTATAAGTTACCCAGAGAAATTGTTTTTAAGATGGTGCTTTTCAAATTGGAGTTTTGCAGTTCTTGGGATACGTGGCCCTGTGCTGAGGGCATCTTCCTACAGCATTAGTAACTTGACTGCTAGGTATCTAAAACATCATTTTAGGATAAAACAAACATGACCTTATCATAAGGTAGAATGCAAACTCGCACAAATGTGTACTACAAGTCAAGACTTCAAATATATTCTGTGTTTTCCGTGGGTGCCTCTGCTTGCCCATTCTGGAGGCATGACTCCTATTCCTTTAAGAAGAAAAGTTTGGAGGAGCTTCCACCTGATGCCCCGTTTATATATCTCACCTGTTAGGAAACTAACTATGGAAATTCACGAGTGCCCAAGGATGGAGAGGAATGTGAGGCCTTGTAATTCCTGAAATGCCTTATTCCCCTTTAGAGTTTTCTCATCAATAAATAAGGTTAGAGCTCTGACTCTCTGGGATCCCACATAACCACCCTTTTGATGAAAGAAATTTACCTTTTTTTCCATAACACACAGGCCAAGATGACCATCAGAGCCACAGAGAAGAAACTCAGAATGCTGATGAGTAGTAGAACAGGATCCATCTTCCCTGGAATGCAAGGATAGTTCTAAATTAACAATCTTAAACTAAGCATGCTGAGGAAGACCTCAGGGTGATTTGAGTTTACGTAGCAACTCAAATTCATTTACTATTTTTTGAAAGTTGCTCTTCAGCGAACAGGATTGTCTCACGGCTTCATGGGGGAATTTTGGCTTAAGTGGCACTGACTTAGGTGACTAGACCCAGAATATCTGTTACTTGATGGGTAAAAGTGACCTAGCATCGAAGATACCAGCATTCTCTCCCCAGTTCCCATCACCAAGAAAAAGAAGCCAAGTGGCGGGGGGAGGGTGGTGTGAGAAATGTTCTCCCCTGCATCTCAGCCACTTCTCAGGGGAGGACGAAAGGTCAGTATGGCCGATCAGTTCCCATTGTCCTCCAAAGGGGACGGATATGTGTGGTGCTTCAGGTCCTCAGGGGCCTAGTTGAGCCAGCCCTTTCGCTCTCTGGACACTCCCATTTCCTAGACCACCAGGGCATCTTCATTACCCTGGAAAGGGGGGCATGGGAGAGCCACATCAACCTGCCAGTCTGTCATCAACAAAGGTGTTCCCAAGGGGGGGTCTTGGAGATCACAGTCTGAATTGGTAAACTGAAGGTAGTGGCGGGGGGGGGGGGGGTTGGTCAGAATTATTAGCAGTTCCCAGGAGCACCCAGGGGAGTGGAGTCTGATAGCCTCTCTCAGCTGATCAGCACCTGAGGGTCTGACTCCCAGCACTTCCTGGTTCTTCACAAAAAGGGCAAAGATGGCAGGTGTTCTGCAAAGAACGTGAAGAAAGCCCTCTGGGGGGCCATTGCTCTTGCTCTCACTCTCATTCACACTCTTTGACCTGCGAAGTGCCCTGTGGGGCCCAGTGACTACATCCACCTCTCACCTCGGCCGGTGGTCTCTGGTGTTCGGAAGTGGAAACTTGGACTCCATTCACTCCAGAAGCCTTTAAAATAGCCAGTACTGGGGATGGATCGGACTTTAATCTCATACATTGCATCAGGCTGTAGCTTTCTCTGCAGGAGTGTCAGCTTTGTACTGGATAAATTCACATGCTGAAGAGCAAAAATTACCACCACAGTTTTAGGAAAAAAAAAATAGAGGTGCTGCCCAGATCTCCCAAGTCATGCACGTTGGGTGTCTTTAGTTCTGTGGACATTTGCTCCAATGGGGACATTTGTTATAAGAAGAGACTCTTAACACATGGAAAGGTCAGCAGGAGATTTGGGGACAGAGGATACAGGCTCCTAAATGAGGCAACAAATGGCAAAGGAGGGCAGCAGTGCCATGGGTCTTTATGCAGGTGAGCTGGGCTCTCCCACTTGGGAGAATGTGAATGACTCCCAACCTCCCACCTCTCTTCCTGCCCGTCAGTCTCTTCTTTTTCTTTCTCTTTCCTTTTACATCCCAAGAAGAGGTGAAAAGGAATGGTAAGGTTAAGGAGCAAAAGTCATTTCCTCCAGAAATCTATTTCTACATTCCTCTTTCCTCCATTCGGCGGCTCTCACAACTTCCGTTAATCAGTGGTGGCTCTGACTTGGTGATGTCTTTGCCTGACTTGTCTGTGAAAGTTGTGCTTACATGGGTTGCTTCTTGGGGCCCCCCAAACAAAGATGACTGATTTGGTCTTGACCTGTACGGTGAGCCCACAATGTAGTTCAGAGACATCATAAAAGCAAAAAAACAGAGCAAGGAAAAAGAGTCAGAAGAGGAATGGGCCAGAGGAGATTCAGGTTTTGTAGAACCTGAAGCCCTTACTCTTAGAGCTTCTTTAAGTAAAAGGTACATTTTGAGCACAAATTTGCTGGGGACCTCCCCACGTAAAGGTACCTCTGGAACAATAAATTATGTAACATTAAGAAGTTGCTCTTTTATAGTTTTATACATTTATATTTTAATTTATATTAATTTATACATGTAATTTATTTATTAAATGTATTTATATATACACCTTTATAAATTTTATAATCTATACGTGTAGTTGACTCACCATCCAATCAGCTTCATCTTTTTCCTGGCGGTAGGCTATCTCATGCGTTAAATCTTTTACATAATTTTTTCGTAAGTGGGATGTATTAAACGTCACCACAAAGTCATTTGCTTCCTCACGATAGACGACATTTACATCATAAGGAGCCTCAGGTTTAACTACAAAGGAAAAAGAAACGAGCTCAGCCAATAAGGCATTCAAGGAAATAATTATACTATTTAAAGTTCATCTGCCCTGGGAATCACATTCTTGTTCAAAAAACCATTTCTTCTTTATCCTGGTTGGAGCCCTGACTACATTTCCCAGCCTCCTTTGCAGTTGGGTATGGTCTAGTGAGCAGTGTGAACAGAAGTGATATACATTAGTTACTTCCTATCCTGGCCTAGAAACCCCACAGCATGACCCTAGGCTTATTCTCAGAGTCATATATCGATGACAGTGGAGCCACAGGATGAAGGAGCCCTGAATGTGGCTTGAAGGACCCCCACCCACAGGTTAGAAACATCCATTTTGCCCTTAGGAGAGCAAGAAATAAATTTAATGGCATTTGAGATACCATATGCTTTAGGGCTTATTTGTTATAGCAGCTAGTGCTAATTTTATACAAAAACACATCTCTTCACTTTTTGGATATTTCTTATTAGCTCGCCTCCAAACAGAGTGGTTAAGCTTTGAGTCTTCATTATTCCTATAAGATCCGGTGACAAACCTGTACCTCATTTCGGCTATAGAGAAGTTGAGGGTCTGCCTTCTGGCCCTGGCTGGGAACTTCCAGTGTGACCTCAGGCTGCCCCCTGCTTCAACCTCATTTACATTTGCTCCCAACCCCTCTCTGGCCTCTTCTTTCTGCTTGCCTCCCTCACAGAGTTGCTGCTTGGGATCACATGCGTCTTATGTGAAATGCTATTGGAGGGACACAGGTTTTATTTCAGGCAGAACAAACCCTGAGACAGGTGCTGAATTCCTAGAAGAGCAGGCGTGTCAGGCAGCACCCTGCCATGACCGTGGGCTTCCCCTTCTCTGCCCCTTAGCTGCTCCTTCCCCAAAGCCTGGGAGGTTAGTAATCTAGGGAGGGAGCGGTGACTTTTCTGCCTGGCTGATCTCAGACAGAAATAGGGGAGCATATAGGTCAAAATCTAACCTAAGCCTGTGGTTAATGAGAAACTCTGTGTTCAACAAACGTTCACTCCATAGGCTGAGCTGATTCTGGGCCATCTGGGTTGGACTTCAAGAGTGACTTGCTGACCCAGTAAAATGAGCTTGTGCAGTGGAGTTTGGCCTGCATATTACCATCAGCTTCTCACAGTGGCGACTGCCTAAAGTTTCTCCTGCACTTCTCCAGAGGTGCTACAGAAGAGGAAGTGGCTCTTCCTTTACCTGTGGCCATCTCATGAAAGGGGGAGTTGATTCCTTACATACACCAGATGAAGAGACGATGCTCTAAAGGGAAACAGGAGGAAAGGGGATGGATGTAGACAGACAGACCGCCAGAGAATACTGTCAACCCCTTTACACTGGCCAGGCCACTTCTTACCCTTCTTTCAAGGGAATAGTGAAGAATCCCATTTTCAACAAAACCTCTCGCACTGAGTTTCTTTTTCTGTCTCCATCTCCCAAGGAAGATAAAGGAAGAATTAAGGGAAGACCAGAATAATATCGACTATCTACCTTCTCATTGCCAAGTGCTGTACTTACATCACTTGCCATCAACAATCATTATGGCCACTATACTGAGGAGGAAACGGGGTCTCAGGGAGGTTGATTGACTTTTGTCCAGGTCCCTGTGGGATGGTTTAAGAGGATCTAAATTCACTTCTCTCTCCTCTGGGGCTCACTCTTCTTCGTGTAGCTTTTGTTTCTGGACCCCGTTACCTCCTGCTGGCCTGTTCTAAGGCCTCTAGCTTTATTTAGCCTCCAACCTAAATGTCGTCTCTGAGCCCATTGGAAAATGATGCTCATTCCTCAAGCAACACTTAAACACGTTTATTTATTCTTGCACAACCTGGACAATTATATAAATTTACCCTGCCAGGAAAAGTGGGAAGGCAGGAAGCTCTCTCTCTGGACCTAAAGATGGGGAAGTCGAGAGGAGGCGTGGGGCTCCCGGGGAGCACTGGCTCTGAGGCTTGACCAGGAGCATCCAGTTGGAATTTAATTAAATGACAGTCCTACTGATGAAAGGTCACGTTAGGAATCAGAAGGTGCTACTGTGAGACACGCCGCCACCACTCCTCATCCTCCCTGCCCAGGGGTGCTTTCCAAAGCCCCGAGGCGCTCCCAGGAGCCCCCTTACAGGGGCCTGTGCTACCAGCTGTGTGCGCACCCCGTGTCTCCTCCTTGCCCCTCCAGCGAGGCTGTCAGGTTTGAAGTCTGCTGGGGCTACAGAATGTGGACCCCTAAAAGCCCTGGGCATGTGAGATCTAGGGATTCAGATGGGGCAGGGTGCCCCCCGAAGCTATGGGCATGCCATGCATGTTCACGCGCTCACTCCCTGACATGCACGCAGGCCCTGTGTGCGAGGTGGGATTCTGGAAGGAGGGGCTCTCCTCAGTGCTCCATGACCCTGCCCGGGGGCTGAGCATCTCTGCCCGCTCTGTCTGCTTTCAGAGGGAATGTTGATTTGCCACGCAAAGGAGAGACCTTTAGACAGAGTGCTCTTGGGCAGCCCACACACTGAACATCCATCCCAGGCAGCCTAGTCTCCGCATATGCAAATCTAGTGAGCTTGTGTCACATGCACAGAGACACTCTGGGAGCGTCATCTCTCACACTGTGCTGTCCGTGCCTCTTTTCCAACAGCTCTGCTTTTTCTCAAGATATTTGTTCACACATGAAACTTTTGTTTTTACTCGCCGTTTTACAATCTTAGTGAAACAAAGCTGCGACTAGATACCAAGTTTCTCTTTGCTGTCTCTGATGAGTATCACTCTTAATATTTAATTGTATTGTTGAGGGTAAAGGCGGTGGTGGTGGGGAGTGTCTGACACTTTGGAGAGATAGAGACACAGTAATTACAACCAGCAAAAGAATTTCTGTCTTCAATCACTTTGAACCATTTTTCACATGTCTATGAAATCTCCCTAGGTGGAATACATACAGGTAGTTAGTACTCCATTGCACTGATATATCATAACTGTTTCAGACCTTCTTCTATACCAGGGTATCTTGGGTTTTGAAAAAGAACTTTATTTACCTCAAGGTCATAAGTCTGTAAGTAATAAAATAATTTTTTTGTGTCTAAATTCCCAATCTTTCTGATTGTTTTGATTTACTTGCCTCATAACCAAATGGTAAATGGGTAATTATTATTGACCTAGAAGCAGCTAATTGAATGGATTTACTGATTTGTATTATTTTGTATATGAATATTATACAGAGCCAAAGAAAACCTGCAAATGAGTTTAGTAACTCAAGTTATCATTTTATTTGAAATATAATTACCATTTTGAACAAAGTATGATATACGTCTTCTAGGCCAAATCAGATTTGGTATCAATCCTCAATAACAGGTCTTTTAGGAAACTGTGGTGGTAAATTCATGTGTCAACATGGTAACCACTTGTTTGGGCAAACGCCAGTCTAAAGATATCTTTTAAAAAGACAGCTTTAAAGCAGTAGACTTTGAGTAAAACAGATTACCCTCCAAAGTGTGGTAGGCTTCATACAGTCCGAGGAAGGGCTGAGCAGCAAGGACTGAAGTCCCTGAAGAAGAAACAATTCTGCCTCGAGAATGCAGCACAAAAGCCCTGCTGGGTTTCCAGACTTGCCTGGCTTGCCCTGTGGAATTGGGACTCGAGACTACAGCATCTGCTCTAACCTCAATTTCTAGCCTTCTCTCTTGCTTTACAAATTCCCTATTTGCCAGCCCCACAATCACATGAGCCAGTTTCTCTCATATACATATATATCTCCATCCCTTACTGTTTGCTCTGGGGAATTCTAACACAGAAGGTGTATTGATTTTTTGAAAGAACTTGATTATTTAGCTAAACACACTCAGAAATACTAAGTACAGGGCTGCAGGAAATTCAGGTGAAGATGAGGTGAGACAGGAAAGAACATAGGTAAGTGGATGACGGGAGACCCAGATAGATACTTTGTATAAATGACCTCTTCTTTCAGTTAGTAGGTGCCAATCACCTTCATTCACTGAGTGTGACAACCCAGAGAATTCCCAGAGTAAGAATTAATAGCATAAGCTTCGAATTTTTCATTTCTTTTAAAAATTACTTGACTCATACCTACAAAGAACCAACTGATAGCTGTCTGAGGGGAGGGAGGTTGGGGTGCTGGGTGAAAAAGGTGAAAAGGTTAATTGGTTCGTTTCAGAATAGGCACAGAGATGCGGTTTGCAGTGTGGGGAATATAGTCTATGATGTCGAGGTAAGTGGGTATGGGGTCAGCTGGGTGCTTGGAGATGCAAGGGGACCACTCCGTAGAGTGTGTGGTTTTCTGGCTACTTTTCTGTGAATCTGAAACTGTTGCAGAATGGTATTGAATGTAAACTGTGGTTGAAAAAAAATACATTTCAAAAAACAGAAATTATTTGTATTAGAGAATTTGATGTTCTTTATTGCAAATAGCTTTCACGATTTGTCCACTTTTAAAATATAGACAATCCAATAGACACTATCAGTACCTTAAGACATCTGAAAAAAGGCACCCATCCCCCCAGTCTTCTTACCTATATCGACTATCTTCATTTCTCTGCAGGTTAAGGTCTTTCCTCTAAGCTTCACACATATTTTGCTGTCTCCAATCAGTAAGAACTTATTTGTTTTGATGAAATATATCTCTTGCAGTTTACTAAGATTCAGGCAATTTACACCCACAAGGGACTCACTGTAGAAACAAAAATAGGATCTGTCTTAATTCAAGCAGGAGTTTCTGTGTACAATGGTATAACATCACTCTATGCTTCAATTGTGTGACTTCAACTCTGTCCATAGGTAACTGAGTGGGTAGATGCATGTGAAAGTCAGAGAAAAAAATGAAAATATTGTAGCTTTTTGCTGCCTTTATCATCAGTGATGATTTACTCAGACATTAGATGCAAGTGAACCTAAAGTAGTCAAAGTGTGTTCATAAAAGTAATGGAAAATTCCTATTTTTAATAATTGGTCACTGAAAAACAAATACATTGTTTTGGTGAGAAGGTACTTGCATTTTATGATGTCCTACAGGAATAAATGAAAGAAAGCCTGTAAAGAAACATTGACCAAAAAGTCTTAAAAGAAATGATGAAATAGTCTAAAGGATTATATACATAAAACCATATATATTTAATGGGTAATTTAGGGATTTTTATAGGTAATTTTGACTGTAGTCTACTTTTAACTCATAACAGATTTTTAAAACCAACCCTTCTCGCATGTTCCCTACTTAACATGCAATAACAATGCTCTGGTGACTGAATTTTGTCTCTTGCATAACTTCCTGTTCCCAGTAAAGATCGGACTTCCAGAAAACGGAAGAAGACAGACTTACCATGCAACTAACATCAAAAGCCCCCAATTGTACTTGTTCAAAAAATTCCTATTAAAAAAGCATAACGCTTAGTTCCAATAATGGTTCCAGTAATGACAGAGTAACTTAAACCACACTGATTTTCTAATATATAACTACTATAAACTCTGGACAATATATTTCTGAAAATCCTATTTAAAATTACTGGAGAGTAACCAAAAGCAGGCAGAAACTAGAGGGAATTTCATCCTTTTAAAAAGGGTGGATAAGATCGATGCTTCTTTTTTCCTTTTTATCTTCTTTTCTCGTCTGATGGCACTCCTTGATTCACATTGTGATAGGCATCTACCATATAACAAACAGTTTTTTCTTAAGGAATCAGAGGAAAGAATTTTGGGGGAAATGCCTAGAAATGAGAAAAAAAGAGAAATGCAAATACCAAGTCAGCATAAAAATGCACTCAAATTATTATATGTCCTCTTAATTATGACTGTGTGAAGGATACTCCACGGAAACTATGAGATAGAAATAGCTATAAGGCTTTAGAAAGAACTAAGCATAGATTTTAGATGCTGCCTCAAAAGAAGAATTTGGAAATTAATCTAAGCGAGTTAACTAACAAAGCTAAAATTAACACTTGCCAGAGGATAACAGAATCTGCCCCCTCACTATCAATAAAGTTTTTCCTACATTCAAAAGCTCCTACAAGTAACCAGGGAAAGAAAAATGTAGCCCAGAGTCAAGGAAAAAAGCAATCTATAAAAACTGACCCTAAGATGATTGAGATCTTGGACCTAGCAGAAAAAGGACTTTAAAGCAGCTTTTATAAATATGTTTAAGGACTAAACATAAAACAATGCCATGATTATTAAACAGGTGTTTAATATTAATGGAGAAACAGAAACAATAGAAGAAAACAGTGAAAACATTATAACAGGTACATATCTAAACATTTAAAAAATGTACTGAATGTATGGGATGGGCTTAACACAGATTGAAGATAGCAGAAAAAAGGGTCAGTGAACATGAAGAAAGATCAGTAGACATTATTCAGTGTGAAATGAAAGAAAAGTGTTGGTGGCCTGTAAGCATAAATACAGGGTCCAACAGAAGCAAGGTCTGTTTCAGTGTGGTTGGTAGGGTAATGATATAGGTGTAATAATTTATAGTTTGAATTTGAACATTTCACCTAAAAGGTCATATTGTATGTTTGAGTGTGCTATTGTTATATTACAGAATTACATACTTATGATTTTGTAATAAAAGATTTTATAATTAAAAAAAGGGCATTATTTGTGCCAGACCCTGTATGTAATTTGAGTTCCAGAACAAAAGGAGAGAAAGAATTTGGCTGAAAAAATATTTAAAGAAATAATGGCTCCAAATTTCCCAAATATGTCAAAAAATTATCAACTTTTGGGTTTAAGAACTTGGAAAATACAAGAAAGCTAAAAAAAAAACCAACATTAAAGCTAGGCACAATATAATCAAATGGCCGAAAAACAAAGACAAATAGAAAATCTTGAAAACATTCAGTGAAAAATATCACTTTCCATCAGAAACTATGAGAACTGGAAGAAAGTGGAATAATATCTTTAAATTTCTGAAAGAGAAAAAATAAGATGTTCACCTTAAATTCTTATATGCACACAACATTCTTCAATAATGAAGGCAAAGTAAAGATATTTCCAGATAAATAAAAATTGAGGTTATTTGTCTTAGGAAGTTCTTTAGACCAAAGGAAAATGATACGAGATGAAATTTCAGATCTACAGGAAGGAATTAGGGGTACCAGAAATAGTACACTTTGGTAATATAAAAGACAATATATATTTCCTCTGAAGTTCTTTAAGGAGAACTGACTACTTAAAGCAAATATTATGACACTATTGTGGCATTTATATGATATGTAGAAGTAAAATATATGTCAACAATAGTGCAAAAGATAGGACAAGATAAGTGGAACTATACTGTTGTGAATTTCTTATATTTTACATGAAATAGTACAATATTAATTCTAAATAAATTCTGATACAATAAAGGTGAATATTGCAATCCTTAATGTAATCACTAAAAACCAGATATTGCCCAAAAGAGAAAATAAGGAAGAAGCTAAATATTTTAAAAGTTCCATTTCTGTCAAAGAAATTAAATTTATTACTAATAAACTTTCCTACAAAGAAAACTGTTCCTCACATGGTTATATACTTATAAGTTCTATATTAGAAATAGTGTCAATCCTAGAAAAATGCTTCCTGAAATTAGGGAAGACTGGACTCTCTCCAACTTAGTTTATGAAGTTAGCTCAACTGTGGTACCAAAGCTGGCAAAAAATATTACAGAAAAGAAATTTACAGATAAATGTCCCTCAAGAATGTATATGTGAAATTCCTTAGGAAAATATTTACATATTCATGTTAATACACAATTCAAAAAGAGGATACACCCCAGAACATCAAGATAAGTTCAGCAATCCAAGATCAATCAATATAATTCATATTAACAGAATAAAAGACAAATAATCTGGTCATCTCAAGGGATGTAAATTAAGTGTTTAACAAAATTCAACATCCATTTATGATAAAAACTCTCAGCAGATAATTAACAGGAGGACATTTCCTTAACCTGCTAAAGAGAATTTACAAAAATTTTATAGTTAACATACTTAATGGTGAAATTGTGAATATTTTCACCTAAGATAAGGACAAGACAGGAATACTTCAGCATTTATATTCAACAGTGTGCTGGATGCTCTAGCCAGTGCTAGGCAACAGAAACAAACAAAAGACAGGTTGGAAAGGAAGAAAAAAAGACAACATGTTTGTATACATGGAAAATCATATTCTCCAATACAATTACAGGAACTAATAAAGTGACTTCACCAAGCTCATTTACAAAAGTCAGTTAAAATTTTAAAGGCTAGTATCAACAAAAAATAACTTAAAAATAACAGCTCAACGTGTGCAATAGAAACATAAAATGCATAGAAATAAAATGAATAAAAGATGTTTAAGGTTTTTTTGCAATGGAAATTACAAAACATTCCTGATAGCTATTAAAGAGAATCTAAATAAATGGAGATTTACATTCATGGATTAGCAAATTCAGCAGTGGAAGGATGGAAAAATTCCCCAAATTTCCATATATAATATTAATCCAAATCTCAGTAGGCTTTAAAAAAAGTTGACAAGCTGATTCTAAAATTTATGTGGAAATTCAAAGAACAGCCAAAACAATAATGAAAAAGTAGGATAACTATGACCCACAGTGCTTGATTTTAAATGCACTATAAAGCTTTGATAATCAAGACAGTTTAGTACTGGCATAAGGATAGATAAATTGATGAATAAAAAGCATACAGAGTTTGGAAACAGACTCACACATACAAGGTTAATTGATTTTAAATACAGGCACCCAATCAATTCAATGGGAAAGAGAAAACCTTTGCCTCAAATTGTCCTAGAACAACTGAGCAAATGTATGGAAAATATAAACCTTAGTCTTATGCAAAATTAATTAGATATGGATTATGGATCTAAATATAAAGGCTAAAACTGTAAAATATTTAGAAGAAAACAGAAGGAAATATCTTCCTAACTTTGGCAATAAAAAAGATAGTAATGACACAAAAAGAAACATAAAAGAGAAAAGAGATAGAATATATTGGACTTCATCAAAAATGAAAACCTCCTGCTTATTAAAATACACCATTAAGAAAATGAAATGCAAGCTACAGACTGAAAGAAAATAACAGTAATACATATATCTGACACACAAATTGTATCCAGAACGTATAAAAAATTTACACTCATCAATAATAAAAGGACAGATAGCGCAGTAAAAAAGGCAAGAGAGACATACAAATGACCAAGAAGTACATGAAAAGATGGTCCAACAGTATTTGTTATTTGAGAAATGTAAATAAAAATAACTAGATACTGTTTCAAAGCCAAATGTTGGAAATGATTGTAGCTCATACATTGTTGGCAGTAGGTAGAGTTGCATAACCACTTTGGAAGCCTGTTGTGCAGTTTCTTATAAAGTGAAATACACGCCTGCTCCGTGATACAGCCATGCCACTGTTTTTACTGCAGAGACACAAGAATGTGTACTGACAAACCAAGTTGTTCAAAAATGTTCATGACAGCTTAAAAAAATAATAGTCTCAAAGTTGATAAATCTCAAATGTCCATCAAGAGGAGAAAGGATTAAAATTGGTGATATATCCATACAGTGAAATTAATACTCAGCAATTGAAAAGATGGGTGATGAGACATGCATCAACATGGATAAATCTCAAAAACATTGCGTGTGTGAAGGAAGTGAGTCAGAAAACAGTGAGCCGTGTGTTATTCCATTTATAAGAACTATGAGAA